GTTTGCTACAATTCCTCATCGTCCAGGGGCCAATGCTCTTCCAAATACTGTAACACATCAATGTGAAGGACCTCCTTTGACAGCATGTTTCGCTGAAAGGATGTCAAGTTAGTTATACATTGCAAACCCTGCTTTTCAACATTTGATAATTTTGTCCCTTGTACCATTGTGAAGTTTTTAAATCGAAGTCGCCAGAACAACGAGGTGAGATTGTTAAGCGCAACAGGATCTGTTTCAATTGTATAAACTCAAAGGAGCATATCTCACGAACGTGCAACTCCCACATCCGTTGCAGAAGTCCCGGATGCGGTAAACCTCATCATACATTGTTACACTTAAATTCCCCTCCTACAGCGAAGAGGAATAAAGTTGATGTTGGAACGATGACATCATGGATTGATGAGTCTGGATCAACCAATAACTTAACTTCTAAACAAGGAAAAGTCTTGCTTCAAGTGATACCTTTACGAATCATCAACAAAGAAGGCAATCAAGTGACAACCTATGGTCTTGTTGATTCAGGTTCTGATGTAACGATGATTGATCCCTCCTTGGTTGAACGTTTGAAAATCAAAGGTTCCTCTGATAGAATTTCCTTTTCCACTGTTAACAGTGAACGAGTTGAAGAAACTGGTCTTAAGGTAGAATTCATTAGCTCCCATTGATGACTACAACTTAGGAATTAGCGTCAAAAATGCCTGGGCCATTAAAGAATTGAACATCCCACTTAAGCCATATACAGTTATGCGTCAAAGTGTTAATCAATGGCCTCACTTGAATGATCTTAAATTCCCTGAAGTAGAAAGGAAGAAGATATCTCTCTTAACTGGCACTAACATCTCAGATTTTTTTATTCTTGCTATCAATTAAACATATCTATGGAATACTTAATTTCCTATTTTTACTTGACCATCGCGTTCCTTAGATATTTTGGAAAACTTTTGATAGTCGTCCGCCATCTTGAAAAAAGACTCGTATGCTAATTTATGCGAAAATAAATTTGTGACGTCAAGTGCAGGGGAACAGATATTATAATAGTCTGCGTCTAAGCGCATTCTTAGACGATTTTGACCAGAAACAACATATAAACCTACTTTTTCTTATAATTGGGTAGAAAACTAAGCAACACAACCCTTCTGTTCGTTTTGATTATATATTTAAAAAAAACGCATCGATTTCGTCGCAGTAAAACTGTTCATTACGGCTGGTATTTATGGCGATTAATATTGTGGTCGGCTATTTGTATATTTATTTATAATCTGAACTCGGCGATCACACTGACAAACAATGTTTGTTTACTTTACTATACACCAAACGCTTATTTATTTAGCTAGGGTATTTAAAGTCCAAAATTCAACCAACATAAACAGGAACAATAGCACAACGAGCAATAAAAATGTCAACATTTTTAACTCAATCGACAAGATCAGATGACAATGTTAGTTGATAGAGCTTGAGTTAGTTGGGTTGAATTATTTTGTGGTTAAATGCGGAACAAAAAAGTTGTTATTTTCCGCTGATAGGTAAAGGTTCCCACAAAATGCGTAAATCGTTTAATTATTCTACATCTACACTTAGCACGTCTTAGCAGTAAATGCGCAAATTGCGGCGAGTGTGGTCATGACGCTATATCCTTTGCGTAAAATGCTACGTTCTAGCGTTTTTTGTATTCCGGTGTTTTTTCGCATAAAAGTTGCCGAACTTTCAGGTTGCATCAGTTTTTAACGTTTTGAGTAGGTTACTTCGTATCTGTGATACAGTGATAGCGCGCTTTCGAAACATGTATTGTCCAGTGTATGGTTGCAATAGCGACAGCCAAAAAGTTACAAGTCCAGCAACACATTTCTTCTCCTTTCCATCTGGAAAATCGGCAGACCAACAGCATAGAAGAAAATTATGGATAGAGTTTTGTAAACGAAAGGCATTTAAACCATCGTCGTGCACTAGAATATGTTCTCTGCATTTCGCAGAAGACACATATGAACCGGGAAATTCGCCGCAGTTTCTTGAACGATTGGGGTACAAAGAAAAATTTATAGTCCGCTTGAAAAAGGATGCGTTACCAACATTACATAAAGCGTTAGAAAATCCAGCCATGACTTGTAGTAGGACAAGGGATTTCACTGTAAGAAGACAACGAAAAAAGGTACGTTATTTTAATGTTCATGTTGGAAAATTCAAAATTGCTTTGTGTCAGTGTCAATAGCTGCAAAGTTGCTTATTTTCAAGTGAATATTATTTTTTAAAGAGCGTTGCCGATCTTATAAAGTCTGAAGAAAAAGCGAGTCCTGAAGAAGATTCCGGAGAAATAGTTGAATATGAACAATTATTAGACGCCGACACTATCCTCGAGGAAGTAGAGGGAAATACAATTCCCAGCAGTGCAAATACGCCCGAACCTTCCCACGCGTTTCAAAGAAACAAATACACCCAGACCACCGCAATCAAACCAAAGACAAGGTCGGTAAAAACACAAACCCTCATCGATGCTACGTCAAGTTTTCTACAGTCATTTCGCATATCAGAGACAGGATCCCCATTAGAATATTTACAACTCCCAGAGCCAACAGGGGACTCCTGTGCTGCCTTTGAAACAAGCAAGAAGCACAGTGTCAGTGAGAACGAAATTGACGAGGAAAGCAGTGCAAGTGAAGAGTCGGCAGAACATGACTACTCGCCAAGCGAGGAGACTACAAGCGAAAGCGACGACACTTGCGAGGAAGTTTACCCCAAAACACGGGTTGTGTTGCGAAATGGGAAACCCCCACAAGAACAGATAAAGTTTGTCGTTTTTGAGGACGCAGTTTTGGAAGCTTTCGGGGTATGCAGACAATGTGGTTCAAAATGCACGGTGACAGTGGAAAGCCAACGAGGGTCGTCCTGTAAAATAAGTAGCTGCTGTACAAGCAAAAGCAACCACCACTTCGAATGGATGACTGGTCCCACAGTAAATGGCATGCCCGTATTTCATTTACTTTTGGCATCGGGAGTTCTTGCTACTGGGATGGAGTCATCTAAAGTGCTACGGCTATTCTCGGCGCTAAAGATCCTAAACGTAAGACAGCGGGAATTATCAAATATTTTAAAATATTACGTTATCCCAACCTTGTACAAGGTTTGAAAGACATAGTTCGAAACATCATTTCAGATACACAAGTTATCAAGGTAAAAGGGTCACTAAATTGACTTGTAATTTTTATAACCAGCCCATGTAAACAGTGTTGTTACAATTTGTATCTTTTGCACTGAAACTTATTGATACATTAATTTCAATGTTTCATCAGTCAACAGAGGTGAAAAACTCAAACGCAATGGAGCTGGAGTCCTTGAAACGGCAAATGAAATTTTTGGAAGAAAACAATATTTGCGTGACAAAACTGGTGACAGACCGTCATATCCAGGTTTCATCTTATATGGCCAATGAGAGACCTGAAGTTGAGCACTCATATGATGTCTGGCATGTAGCAAAAGGTATGATGGTTTTCATTTGATATTGTAGTTAAATACAATCAGAATAACCATTTAATAACTAATGTTTATAGGAGAAAAGAAAAAATTGACAAAGCTTGTCAAAAAAAGAAAATTTAAATCAATTAAACCATGGATTGGCGTGAGTAATTTTTTACTAGTTACAAGTTTTATTACACCTGAATGTGAAGTAATATACTTTGTTTTATTTCATACTTGACAGTCCATTGTTAACCATTTCTACTGGGTTGGGAACTCAAGTACAACTGCTGATGAACGAGAGGAAAAATGGCGCAGTCTACTCAACCATATTGTAAACATTCACAAACATGAAGGGCATAAGGTGTTTACTGAATGTCTTCATGGCCCAATAGAAAGAAAATGGCTGAAACAAGGTTTACTAATATTCATTTTAATTAATTATGAAATCAATCTAGACCTTAATACACCCTTTAATATTTTACATTTATTCTTAATATTTTACATTTATTCATCTTATTAAGGATCTGCTGCTTACAAGAAGTTAACTGAGATGCTAACAAGACCTCGGCTGATTACAGCAATTCAAAAGTTATCCCAGTATCACCAGACATCTGGATTGGAGGCCAAGCATGCAGTGGACAATGTTCTTGCTTCTAAGAACACCTATCATTCATACCATTCCCTGAGTGCAAGGTAAATGACAATATAGTATAATTTGCAATACTGCAGTAAATAAAAGTGATATATTTGCATCTTTTGAAAGATTGTACTGTGCAAATCTGCATTACAATGAGAACAGCAGTAGAAAACAAGCTACAACAGCAGATGGCAATCTTCGATGGAAAAAAGCATTCAAAAGCATTCAAAGGAGAAAAAGCAGTTGCCAATCCATTGAAGGAAAAGCCAACATATGGTAAGAAATAGTTTACTAAAACTGTAAACGTTTTAAAAAGTAGACAGTTTCATTCTGTAACTAATCTCTCTTTCCAAAAACTAAGATAAATTACAGTAGAGCTAACAAAAATAACATTTCCTAATCCATTTTTTAGCATATGTGGATCTAATTTTAAAGGAAGCTGTTCAACGTAGAAGTGAATACAATACACTGAAGAATGCTAAGGTCCATGCCATCAAATTTCTACCTGTTGAACCAAAATCACTTGTTGAGCAGTATCTTGAAGGGAAAGAACGTCCATCCAAGGAGCTAGTGGTGGCCAATCGCAAATCTCGCTTCAGCAAGCCAGCTTTACCTGCAAGTACAGAGAGTGAGTCAGCAAAGGTATCATGCGCTTGTAAGGGAAAATGTGCAACCAGAAAATGTGATTGCAGGGGTACAGATCAAATGTGTCACACCGAATGTACTTGTAAAGTGGAAAAGTGTAAAAATCGTGAGTAAGAAACATGATATTTATGTGGTGTAAATAATCGACCGAATTAAAAAACTGACTTTAAATTAAATTTTCAATCGTGCTTCATTATAATAGGCACACTGTTGGCTGTGCCACAGAATGTGCACACTCTAGTTTACTTGGCTAGATTGCCGGAAAAACTTACCATTTCGACTTTTTTGCGTATTTAAAATGAGTGTAGACGCCATCATGAGACGAAAATCGATCTCGAATGGTCGTGTAAACACACGCTGGAAGCGGTCTTCTGTTCTTTTTCCCCAAAATTTGAAATACCCAACGCGAACATCGTTGGTATGCAACACGTCTATACAGTTTGTGCATTCTGCCCAAATCGTCGTCATCCAGAGGCCAGTTGTCCTCAAGATAGCGGCAAACGTCTACTTTCAAGACACCTTCCGACAGCATGTTTGCTTTGAAGTCGCTATGCGTTGTCAAGCACCTTTCCCCTTGCGCTTCAGCCTCTGTTAAGAGCGCATCATACTCCTCGTACTCCAATGCTTTTTCATGGCAACAAAACGATTCTATGGCCTTTGGTTTTAACGTGCAATGCCCACATTTACACCAACTGAGACTGTGAAGACGCCAGGCATTTTCAACCTCAAACGCATGGTCGACTTCCTCGTCTGATGATTGACTCTCATCTGAGTCGCTATCCTCGCTGCTATTGTTTGCATTCAAGCCCGGTTCGGGTTCAAATTGATAGGGTAATACCTCTTCTACTTGGTTATTGTGGATACTTTCCATTTTTGAAATCGAAAAGTGCTAAATACTTCACTAGAAGTTCGAAATGGCTATATGCGCGTATAAAATATATATGTTGTTTTGATCTACCCTGCACCTGACGTCACAAGTGTCAAGTTACCAAAAGATAATTTTTTTGAAAATCGGTCCAAGATGGCGGATGGACTGAATGTTTACCATAAAATAACTCGAGAACTAAACAGTTTTGGTAAAAAATAATACCATATTCGTAATCGTAATCGATTGCAAGCATAAAAAAATTTATTGCCAATACCCTTTAAGAATATATCAATCAGTAAACGACTAAGCGTGGAATTCTTTCAGTTGTAAGTTCCCTTCATGATCCTCTTGGTTTTCAAAGTCTGCTGACAAGGTTTTACTACAAAACCTATGGAGAACCGGAGTTCAATGGGATGAGAAGATTCAAGAGCCGTACCTTCTTCAATGGCAAAGATGGGTTGAAGAATTGCAACACATTCACAATATCAAGATTCCAAGATGCTTTATACCATTCAACTTTGGCACCATAGCCGAAGCTCAATTACATCACTTTTCTGATGCATCCAAGATTGGTTATGCCGCCGTCACCTTTCTACGAATTATTGACGATTCTGCTCAAATCCATTGCGCCTTTGTAATGGGAAAATGTTGTAATGCACCTATACGGGAATGGTCAATCCCTCATTTGGAATTACAAGCAGCGGTCCTGTCTTCACGGTTACATTAGGGAGATTTAGCATGAGGACGTGAACGTCAAAGACGACGTGAAAATGGCGAGTAAATGGCGTGGCATGTCCATATTTGGGTGCATCACGCCATTTATTCGCCATTTTTACGTCGTCTTTGACGTTCACGTCCTCGTGCTAAATCTCCCTATTAGTTAATCTATAACAACTTCGAGAATTAACAATTTCGAAGGCACTCTTTTGGTCTGACTCTATGACTACATTACAATACATCAAGAACGAATGACGTCGATTCCGCCTGTTTGTGGCTAATCGCCTTGGTGAAATTCATGACGTATCATTACCAAATGACTGAGGATATGTTCCAAATGCCTTAATCCAGCTGACGATGGCTCAAGAGGGATGAAAGTTAAGGCCTTTCAACCAACATGTCTATGGTGGACTGGCCCATCTTTCCTCTGGCAAGCAGAGGAATCCTGGCCAACTCAGCCTGTAGGTGACGTTCCAGATAATGACAAGGAACTTCAGATGGAGAAGCACGTAATGATGATTTCCCTTAGCCTTTCTCTGGATCAATTCCTACACCAGTGTTCCTCCTGGCCTCGTCTTCAAAGGCAAATGGCGTGGTTGTTACGTTTCATCCAATATCTCAAGAATCCAGTTATTCGATCAACAATCCCGCAGATGATCACCTTTGCCGAGATGCAAGTTTCATCCTTGAAAATAGTTCACATCATACAAAGTCAGTACTTCCCAAACGAACTTGAGTCACTTCGGGTCGGCAATCAAGTTTCCACCAACAGCAAATTAGAAACCCTTAATCCAGTCCTGATCGATGGTATCATCAGAGTCGGTGGAAGAATTCGTAATTCTCCTCTTCCCCTTGATGCAATACACCCAATGATTTTGCCCAAAGATCATCATGTTTCTACTCTGATTGTGCGCTACTACCACCAGATCCTCGGACATGCTGGTCGGGAACATGTTCTTTCCTTTGTAAGTCAACAATACTTGATATTACAAGAACGAGCACTTACACGGAAGATTTTAAGAAATTGTGTTAACTGTCGAAAGCGAAACGAAGCAGTAATGCAGCAATTTACGTCCGACCTTCCCAGTGAAAGATTGACTCCATACGAAGCCCCTTTCACCTACACTAGAGTTGATTCGTTTGGTTCCTTTCTCGTAAAAAGAGGACGCTCAATTGAAAAAATTTACGGATGTATTTTCGTTTGTTTCAACAGTCGGGCAATTCATATAGAGGACGCTAGTTCGTTAGAAGCTGACGTGTTCATACAAGCATTAAGATTTATTTCTAACCGTGGTTGCCCAAAGGTGATTTGGAGTGATAATGGTACAAACTTCACTGGTGCAGAGAAGGAGCTCCGTCAATCAATTTTAAATTGGAAGAAAGAAATAAACCAGAACGAGATGCGATCGAAAGAAATCAAATGCGAAATTAGTCCAATTTCGAGATGGCGCTTTCAACCTCCGGCAGCGAGCCACATGAGTGGAGTATGGGAACGACTTATTCGCAGTGTTAGAAGATCAATGAAGGCAATAATCGGTCACCCCCATGCCTTTCTGAAGAAACATAGCGTACCCTTTTTGCTGAAGTGGTTACAATTCTCAACAGTCGTCCACTCTGCCCTAGTAGCGACGATCCAAATGATTTGGAACCCCTTACGCCAAACTATTTATTGTTACAATGCCGAAATACTGCTATTCCACCTGGCATTTTTTTCAAAGAAGATATACACTCTCGTAAACAATGGAAACGTGCACAGTTTTTGGCTAATTGTTTTTGGTCAAGATGGATGAAAGAATACCTTCCTATATTGCAAGAACGCCAGAAGTGGATTCAGAAAAGAAGAAATCTGGCAGTTAACGACCTTGTGTTAGTAGTTGATAAAACTATTCCTCATGGACGCTGGTTACTCGGCCGATGTACAAAGGTATTCCCTGGCTGTGACGGCCGTGTTAGAACAGCCAAGATCAAAACAAAGGATTCTTCTTTAATCCGACCGATCTCAAAGTTATGTTTATTGGAAGAAGTTAGTCAGCAATGATATATCAATTTGTATGAAACAATACTAGTATTAACTTCAAAGGTTGAATAATCAACATAATGAAACACTCATCTGTTTATGTTAAGTAAAGCAAAAGAACACTGAATGAACTTTGTTCATTCAGGGGGCCGAGGATGTTGTGGCTAATTCAACAACAATATTGTTTACTAATTAGTTATGTGTAATGAACATCAATAATTTAACTGAGTATAAAAAAAGCCAACACCCAAATATCACAAGTTAGTATGAAGAAGTTAAACAACAAGCAACATTTAACAAAGTAAAGTTGAAACCAATAAATCACGTTCCGTGCACATTGGTAAGTTCATTTAATGTATACGTGCATGTGTAAATATCCCATTTATGTAAAAATGATTGTATATACAGTAGGAGGCAAAAGTTTGAGTCCAGTCGTTGTAGAATTCCAGTATTAAATCCTGGCAGCGTATTGGAGTTAAGACATGCGTGCTAGTGTTTCAGTACTGTAAACTATATTAATTGCACACTGTTTTGGTCCTAATGATCTAAATTATAACAAAATAAAGTTCTCATTCCTTTACACTGCCCAAGATGGGTAGGAAAAAGGGCAAAGTGATGGTGCACAAGGACAAATAGTTCCATTAAGTATTGAAGGATTCTTTCCTCGTAAGATCGCAGAAGAAGTGAGAATTTAAAAAGGTGGTATGCAACTAACCTTGGAGAGGTTCGAAGAAACTAAATCCTACTCAAGCAAACTTTTAGCTGCTTTGGTCATGCTCGGTTTGGCAATATTGAAAGATATAATAGGATCCTAATTAAAGAAAAGTATCATCCAATTCTTCAAGGACATGGAATTTCATCTGGTACAAAGATGATCGCACGTCTAACTACATGATAATCACCCTAAGCACATGCACATCTTCTATGTGCCAGAAATCGTTTAGAAGCAAACTCATTCTGGTGATCTCGTTGTTATGGCTTTCCACCTCATATTCCAGATCTAAAACCTATGGAGCACTTGTAGAACCGTTTTAACTGGAAGAGGGCGAGGCACAGACCCGCCAGCCAGGCTGACTTGAGGCAAGTGGTCAACGAATGCTGGCAAGGTATTGAACGTGTGACATTAAAAAACCTATGGAATCTATGCGAGCAAGAATAAAGGTCATTTCAAGAGCAAAAAAGAGGGAACTAAGCAATGACATGTAAATGCATGTTTGCACATTAAAATACGTAAAAATGAATATCATAACATCTCATAGTTGTTGTACAGCATGTATTTTTCTGTTTACTTGTTTACTTTTTTCTAGTTCACTTATCGGTAAGGTTTTCTGTAGAATATTAATATATGCTGCTGAAACAAAGAAATACAGTCACTGGACTCAAACTTTTGCCTCCTACTGTAAGTTATAATTTTAATCCATGCTTACTGTAGGAATTTTACAGGCTTGTTAAGACCTTTGTGCCGGGAGGTGAAATGTAAAGCTTAGAATGTAAGATAAATAAAGATCAAGATTGTTCGAAACGTGCAACCCCTGCTTTGTACAATATTATTTTTATTTTCAAGGTAAAAAAATATATTGCCATTTCCCTTTAAAATAAAGCATATCAAGGCACAAGCCCGATATATGGGATCATGTCTGCCATTGAGACTACTGCAACAATATGCCACCAACCTGATCTAACAAATGAAAAAATAAATTTGATTTCAAATGGTGACATATAAACTATAAAATGACGTTACAGTCGTGCCAATAGAAGCATTCCAAAAAATGTTAACCAGTTCTTGAAGCACACCTCTGAACAATTCCTTAAAACTACCTGTTTCATTGACCAATCAAACTTTATATTTTATTTTTGAGCAATCTGATTGGTCAATGAAACATGAAATTAGGAACTTTTTAAGGAATTTATCAAATTGTGGAGGGATTGTTCAGAGGAACTCCTCAAAGTTAGGCCGGTTTTCCACTAGCGATATTTTCGCGCGAAGCGACTTTATTCCTTTGTATTTGAGCAATTTGTTCCAGATGGTTGCAGTTGAGAGCTCTGAAACAAAAGTAAAATGTCACTTCGCGCGAAAAATATCGCTAGTGGAAAACCGGCTTTAGAAAATGAGCTGGTCAACATTTTTCGGAATGCTTCTATTGGCACAACCACAAAGTAAAGATCAGTAAAAGAAGTCCCACTCAGAAGTCCAACATGTCCTAGTTTTTTTAATGCAAAAATACGCAGTTTACTTGCCAGAAGGCGGAGGAGGCAGCCAGTACATCGT